AAATTATATTATAAATTATATTATTCGACTTCTTGTCTATGATTATGAACACACTTGATTGTAGAGCAAGTAGTTTGACCGTTTTCTGCTGTTTATTATTTAATTATAGTCCTTTATAAATATATAATTGTATAACTTACAACAGGCGACACAGTGGCACAGTAGGTAGCGCTGTCGCCTCACAGCAAGAAGGTCGCTAGGTCGCTGGTTCCAACCTCGGCTCGGCTCGGCTTAGTTGGTATTTTTGTGTGGAGTTTGCATGTTCTCCCTGCATTTGCGTGGGTTTCCTTGGGTGCTCCGGTTTCCCCCACAGTCCAAAGACATGCGGTACAGGTGAATTGGATAGGCTAAATTGTCCACAATGTATGAGTGTGTATATGAATGAGTGTGTGGATGTTTCCCAGAGATGAGTTACGGCTGGAACGACATCCGCTACGTAAAAACGTGCTGGATAAGTTGACGGTTCATTCCGCTGTGGCGACCTCGGATTAATAAGGGGACTAAGCCGACAAGAAAATTAATGAATGAACTTATAACAAATTATTTGTACTATACCTGCTTCATTAAGAATAGTTCACACTAAAATGAACATATGTTGTTCTTTAATCATCCAAGATGTAGGTGATTTGTAAAGTGCAAATGAATGACTAATAGTACTTTGGAACAACAAACAAAACATACAGGACAAAAACTATATATATATAATATAAAAATATATAATGGCTTCTGATGATACATTAAGGTCTTGTGAAATAAACTGGTTGGTCTGTGAAAGAAACTGATTATTATTTACAGTATAACATTAAGCACAAGTTAGGGTGTGTGTCCACTTAGAGGTTTTTGTGTAGCTTAAAATGCTAGCCTTCTTCCAAAAGTGCTCAGCTGCGAGCTTCTCCAACTGTTGTAGCTTTTAAAAACATTCTGAGCAGTGCTTGTCGTGATATGCACACCACACAGCTAAAAAAAAAAAAAACGCAGCGCTTACGTTGACAACAGTATGCTCGGCTCAGAAAAAAATACTTTGGTGGGTGGACACGCACCCTTTTTGTTGTTGATGCTTCATTTGTAAACAAAAGTGTGCCCTTGTGTCAGTTTGTGCACATGTATTCGCCATAACTGGAAATAGTAAACATATTTTCTTACTCTTACAGTGCAGGTAACTATTAAATACAAAATGATGTTATGAAACACTATTAGGTGCTCAGGCTGACAGGATCGATCCAATCTGCTTCCGACCAAATCATCACCTCATGGCGCAGGTGATTTTTTGTGTTGCCTCAGCAACCAATGAGCTTATAAATTAAAATACCTTAGTGTCGTTTTCATTATTTGGATATCATCCTTGACCAGTGTGTAGATCTGTACAGGGGTTTCATGTATGTTATGTTTGCAGCAGTAGTGTAATTTTCTTAGGTGTTCTCTGCACCAATTGATCACCATACTGATGGTGTATATTATGCACACAGACTTTTACCTTAAGCCAGCCAGCCTCAACGTTTCCATGGTAAAAATGCCACGTTTAAGGTCTGGTTTCTTTAAAAATCAGCTATCTTCATTGCCTGAGAGATATACGATATAAAGTGGGTTTCAGAGTGGTCAAGAAGCACTGCATTAAATTCCATTTTCCCCCACCAAGTCTTTAAAATATGGCATTTTATTTTACCTCAGTATTTTCAATGGAGTTTCTGTGCTCGCCTTGCTGAACCTGACAGTGCTAGCATTACCCAGTCTTTCATCTCGTTTTACTCTTGAACAACTAAATGAGTGCTTAAGTCGATTTAACTGAATGTAATATAATTACATTACAACATCGATGCTATAAAATGAACCTTATGAAATTAAAAATAGTCAAAAAATAGTTTATCATTGGCTGAAAAACGCTAGCTGTGCATATACCCCGTTACCATATCTTTCCAAGGGCACTATTTAAATAATCTAAGAGTATGATCTAAAGCACATGGCGCAGGTGTACTAAGGAAGTGTTTAAATCCACTTTTGTTATTTTAAATAAGGGAAAAATGGTCGCCGCACCTGGCGCATTGTCTAAAATGGTTGTCTTTGTTCTCCAAATGTGTTATGGGTGTGTTTTGGGCATAAAACGTCCATTAAACCAATCAAAGTCTCATCTCCCATTCTCTTTTTAAGTACGAGTTGCAGATGCTTTATGGCACATTCACTATTTACATGGCAGACTTTACAAGAAAAAATACTACATGCTTCATTTGCGAGGAAAAAGATCTGATCGTGTATGAGGAATGGTGAAACCTGTGCCATTGACTTTAGACCAGCTTTAGTTCTCAATGATTTTATTGCCTTAAAATACCAACGCATCAACAATGCACCTTAACACGCTTACTTTTCAGACCAGGATGCCTATGGGTGCATAAATGGACGTAGATTCAATTACTATTTAAACAACATGGCGCAGGAGTTGAAAATGATTCCTGCACTGGGCTTAAACTACCAAAAAAACACTTGCGTCACTCCTGTCTCTGCACTGAACCGAGTGTATGATATGGCCCCTAGAATGTTCATGATGGAATTTGCATTTTATGAATCACCAACATTTTTAGCTGAAAACATTTTTTACTAATGATGAAAAAAACCTCTACGTTTAGCACTGCCTGAAAATGAGCACATTATTTTTAGGAGAACTACCACTTTAATTCAGCATTTCTCTCTGATTAGGATGCAGCCCAACAGAGTAATGCTTTAAATGTGATAAACATCCTGTGGTCGCATTATAATCATACACAAATCCCACAGATACATCAAAACCTCATCTGAACAGCCAAAAGCGTCAAACCCATCTGCTGGCCTATCAAACATATAAAAGCCAAAAACACAGCAGGGTGAACGTTTGATCACCAAGTTGGCCAAAATTAATGCTTTCTCCCTCCAAACCCTGGTGCTTCAAAACACAGACCGTGCATGAAAGAGAAGAGGAGTTACCTAACTAGAATATAGATGATAGCTTCTGCTGGGCCTGTGTCAATAGGCTCTTGGTGTTGAGAACCGCATTAAAGTATATCAGATGATTGCGTCCGTGCCAATTACTTGCGATGACAGTAACCCTTAAAACAGATTGGGCTCATTATACTGAAGAGGATTCCTCTTAAGTTAGAGTCCTCACAACAGCTGGGCTTAAGGTCAAGGAGATCCATGTCAGACTGGAGAGGGACCAAAATGCTCCAATTAGCAATTTGGAGTGCTACAGATGTCTTTATTGGGATGGAGAACATCTCAGTGGCAATTTTCTGAACGAACATGCAATTTTTAGTCCAGCATTTGGAAACTTAAGTGAACGTAAGGACTTGAGATGTCAGTCGTGAAGAAGAAAACGTCTACAGGCTCAACTGATCAACATGATGTTCTGGTTAAAAAAAAAAAACATCTGCCAAATTACATGGTAATAGACTGACTTTTAGGCCATTTTGGAAGATTTCAACACTTAACTAAAAGACGACTTGGAGAGATTGGAGAAGAAAATAATTCTAATGTCAAGGTTTTAATTTATGATAAACTAATAAATGACCAATAATATTAGTAGTAGTAGTAGTAGTAGAAGAAGTATTTAAAATACAAAAAAAATAATATTACAAGTTTACAGATGGGTCCATAAACTTTTACTTTTGGTCCCTTAACAAGCGGGAGGCACATAAGCAATCTGTTTCTACACTGTTAACCTGATTTGGAAGTAAATACCCTTAAATTAAAGCTGATAGTCTGCTGTTAAAGCATATCTTGTTCATTTTAATTCGAATCCATTGTGGTGTTTTTTTTAGCCAAACATGTTAGAACTGTGTTGATGTCCAAATATGTATGGTCCTAACAGCACATGTATGATTGCGTTTATATTTATTTAAAAAATGTAATTAAATAGTTTAAATAGGTAAAAACAGTAAAACTAAACTACTTAAAAATAATTTTGGCAACTATACATTATAATATACAGTATTATTAACACTATTAATATATTAATATTTAATATTAATTCTGAGGTTTACTACTATATTTATGCTATATAAAAAGTGTTTTTGAAGTTAGATAAACTCCAAGTCTTAAAGTGATTGCAAGATTACAGTCAGCACCTGTACTATACCTGTTATTAAGTTAATTATTCATTAATCATTAACATCCCTAATATATGATCTCAAAAATATATCTTCACACAAAATGAAGTTGTGAGAATAAGATGTGTTCGCAGAGGGTATTTGAAATGTTTACATGGCTCACTGGAATATTTGATTCTGATTGGTTAATCATAACATTTCATGATGTGTTATTCCCACATAACAACTGCTGAAACTAACTACACAAACTTGTTTGGGTACTTTAAATCATCATGTCCATTAGGAAATACGTTCACATATATTTATGTGTTTGCCTGTCAGGCCACTTTTCTTGACTGTTTGTCACCATCTTGAGACTGAATAATAAATTTACAAGTCAGTGTTTGTTCCATTTAGCCATTTTAGTTTCTCTCATTTTTACAGTAAGTTTTATTAAATAGTTAGTAAACTATTACTGCTCAGATTTTATGCCTAATTGTTTAATTTTGCAACAAAAAGCTTTGTAATAAGCAGTATAATGTTTAAAATTAGTTAAAATTACTTTCAGTCTTGTGTAACTGATGATGAGTCTATCAGGCTTGATTCTGTGAGAAAAACCGCCAAGATATACATTATCCCTTACATATACTTTACTGCTGTAATTGTGATTTTAGACACGATAGTAGAGCAGAAACTAAATTCTTATTTATCTGGTATGCTATGCATCTCAAACTGCACCATATAACGTCTTTACTAAATATCCTACCACGCACAATGCAATAAAATACAAAAACATTATTGGTCTAACCAGCACTGACAAGCAAAAGACACTTTTTCCCATCACTTAGGTTGTACCGTTTCAACAGCGCTGCACTGTCTATTCATGACAGTGAAATCTCATAAAGCTGGTCATACCGGTTTAGGATGGCTTAAAATAAAGCTACTCACAAAACTGACACAATGTCGCCTCGCTGCACGTGGTAGTTCCTCACACTCCAGCGGTTGAGCAGCACAACATCAGGTGAAGACTCTCCATCTGGGTTTAAGGACGGCTGGGAAAAGAACCACAATATATTTATATATTTATTTAAAAGCACCGTAGCACCTAACTAAAACAAATTGAGGACCACAAACAAACTAATGAAACAGAGGTACATAAGAAAAGAGTGCAGTTAAAATTGAAGGAAATGGGAATAACTGCATCGCAAGTTGATTAACTTGCAATGCAATTATTCTAATTTTTATATTTCTCTACAATCAATATTTACAAATACTTTAATAATTTAACTTATAAAAATTATATTGTAGCATTTTAAAGGAAGACACCACTTTTTTAATAAATAGTAAAGCTTCTCTAGAGCAGTGGTTCCCAACCTTTTTCTTAGGGGCCCCCCCCATGAACATATACAAACATTGGAGCACCCCCACCATATAAATACACACGCACGCACACACATATGTACTGTATATATATATATATATATATATATATATATATATATATATATATATATATATATATATATATATATATATATATATATATACATATATATATATATATATATATATATATATACATACATACATACAGTATGTGTGTGTTTGTGTAATATTAATATATAATATGTATACAAAATATAAAATAATCAGTTTTAACTTGTCTTGGCCTTCAATAAAACCAAAATTTAGGTAGGCTTTGACATACTGTCTAATCTTTTTCTTCACCTCTGAATAATCATTGCATTTACGTTTCTCTGCCATTTTTGTTTTGATTTTGCCATTACGAGAAGGTGGACAACCACATTGCGCAAGTGAGCAAAATTTAAATAATTATTTAAAGTTATTTATTTTAATTATTTTTACTATTATGTTGGAATTTTAAGCATGTGTTTTGATTTTTTTTTTGGTACTTAAAAATACATATATAATAGTAGGGCTGCTCGATATTGGGAAAAATCATAATCACAATTATTTTGGTCATAATTGTAATCACGATTATTCAAAACGAGTATCAGAAAAAATACAATAAAATTATTAGCGCTCCTGAGAATTTTTTTAAAATAAATATTTCCCAAATTATGTTTAACAGACCAAGGAATTTTAACAGTATTTTCTCTAATATTTTTCTTCTAGGCTTATTTGTTTTATTTTAGCTAGAATAAAAGCAAGTTTAAATATTTTGAAAGCTATTTTAAGGTCAATATTATTAGCCCCCTTAAGCAATAAATATTTTTGATGACTTGCCTAATTACCCTAATTAAGCCTTTGAACTGCACTTTAATCTGAATGCTTGTATTTTGAAAAATATCTAGTAAAATATTATGTGCTGTCATTATAGCAAAGATAAAATAAATCAGTAATTAGAAATGATATATCAAAACTATTATGTTCAGAAAAAAAAACTTCTTTCTATGAAACAGAAATTGGGCAGGAAAAGTTAATATTCAGCTAATATTCAGGAGGGCTAATAATTCTGACTTCAAGTGTTTACATACAGTTATTTTCCAGCCTGCAAAGGAAAGAGAAATAAATACAATTAAATAAAAATATTAAACAAACTGCTTTAAGCATCTTCACTGTAAGAAAAACACTTTAGCTACAAAAATCCTTCAGAGAAACATTTTCTCGTTATGTTTGATTAATGATAAAACAGGCGGCAGCAGGAATATTTCGCGCTGTCTCTTTAATGGTTTCTCTTTCACGTCTTTTGATTCTCAACTCGTTTGTTTATTACACAAATGGGGGCTAATATAAATAATCACGAAACAACGCGTTTTGACACCTATTTGACCATTAAAGCGCTCACGTTAATGACTTTAGATGTCTGCGCTCCTCTGCTCGTCTCAGTGTGCGAATGAGAGCGAATGCTGACTGGCCGCATGCTTCTGGCTGCGTGTGCGTGCTGCACACACACATTCGCGCTTTTAAGAGCAACGCGTGCACAGCTGGAAAGGGGGCGGTATATGATGCATATAATCGTTTATCTTGATTAATGCTTTTTTATAATCGTTTGAAATCGAAATCGGATTTTCGATTAATTGTACAGCCCTATATAATAGTGGAGCATTTTTATGCCTTTTTCTACCTCAATACTTATCCTCTCCCGCGCCCCCCTTGTGAACTCTGGCGCCCCCCTTAGGGGGGCGCGGACCCCAGGTTGGGAACCACTGCTCTAGAGTAACGTATGAGCTTCACAAATTTTGAATCCATTCATCTGATCCCCGGGTCTGGCAGAAACACTTTTAGCTTAGCCTAGCATAGATAATTGAATCTGATTAGACCATTAGCATCATGACCATAAACTTATTTAACAAGTTCACTCTGTTAACTTCCAGTGATAATCACTGGGGTAGGAATGCCAAAAACAAAAAAAAAGATCTGGATCAATAGAGGTGATAAGTGTTAATGAAATAATTAGTGAACACATTTTCTGATTTGCCATTCGCTCCTATGTTCTTTATTCATAATTTGTATTTTTTCTATTACTTTTTTTCTATTACAAGTAGAGCAAGTGCAGAAACCTTCACTTTCACTTTGAAACAAGAAATAAGCTTTTTGAAGATGCTCTATAATAAAAAATCTACCAAGGCATAGTAGAATAATAAAAGACCAGTAAATGGAAATGGGCATAGTGTGAACCTCAGACACAAATGTTTCCTCATTCACATGTTAATTCCCTGAGTGTAAAACCCTGGTGGACAATGAGCCAATCAGAGGACAAAACAAACTGACGAGACTCACGGGCCATGCCTTTCGCATTTGCATGTAAGCCTATTTTAGGTCATTCATCCGGGCTTTATGCACAGCCATGTCATCAAGAGAAAATGACTCATATGCAGCTCTGAGATCATAAAAAAAGTTCTGAGAGCTTTAATATGCATGCCTCAGGCTGTGTTTGATAAGCCAAACGTTTTCTAGTTACACAAAAGTGATAATGTGATTTTCCTCACTTATTGTAGTTATTTAGTTAAGCATATTATTCACTTACTATCTATATTGGACTTTTATTTTAAAAACACAAGCTTCAAATTGTTTACTGTGTGTTACTGGGCAACGACAGCACGAGACATGTCAAACTCACCTCAGGATGCAAAATGCAAGATTTACACATTCTGCATGTATTAATTTCTACTCCGAAGAGGCATTACCTATGTTTAGTTCCATAATTTGTAAATTTATTGTGTTTGTTGTGAAATTTGATGAGTATGTTTCAACAAAACACATGTAGTCTGCTGAATTGTGTGAAATCAGTCAGTTCAACTGTCATTTGCTCATGCAGTGGTTGATATTAATTCCTGGTTGTGTTTTCTTTGATTGTAGCTTCAAAATACAACACTATACATCTCTATCACTCTCTTTTGTCTAGTTTAATAATAATTTAACCTTTATCTACAACAGATCTGGTGAGCAAAATAGGTTAACATTACTCTGATTGGGTTTATATTTGTCCATGTTAAGCGTACATCATGCTCTCTCTCTATGTCTGTAAGAACGGCATGTCAGAGCGGAGCGCATTAATATTCACGACACAAACCATATATAGTCAATCATGGACCTTCTAATTCTATGAGTATTTTATGGAGTAATAAATTAGCTTATAAAACCATTTCTGAAGACTTTTTGAACTTATCAAACCATAAACCTACTATATAGACATCAGAGAACAATTTAACTTATTAAACCAATGCAGTATATGGCACCTTTAATTAACGAGAAGCTAAAATGTAAGGCCAAATGGTATTTCTGCATTATGTACATGTGGTAGATCTGGTGTAACCTTCACACAGCTGAATAGCCTACACTATACCCTGATGTGAAACCTGTTGCTCCACTGACAAATTGATTTTTCATAGAGATATTTTTTTCTTTATTTCCAACTCAATGCATTTAAGCATGTAGACATGGTCAAGATGATCTGCTGCAGATCAAACCGAGCATTAGAATAGCGAAGAAAAGTGATTTAAGTGACTGTGAATGTGGCATGGTTGTTGGTGCCAGATGAGCTGGTCTGAGTTTTTCAGAAACTGATGATCTACTGGGATTTTAATACACAACCATATCTAGGGTTTATAGAGAATGGTCTGAAAAAGAGAAAATATTTAGTGGGCGGCAGTTCTGTGGGCGCAAATGCCTTGATAATGTCAGAGGTCAGGAGGAATGGCCAGACCGGTTCCAGCTGATAGAAAGGCAACAGTAACTCAAATAACCACTCATTACAACCAAGGTATGCAGAAGAGCATCTCTGATCGCACATCTAACCTTGAGGTGGATAAGCTACAGCAGCAGAAGACCCCAACAGGTGCCACTCCTGTTGGCTAAGAACAGAAAACTGAGGCCACAAATCGCACAGGCTCACCAAAATTGGACAATAGAAGATCGCCTCAAAAGCATTGCCTCGTCCGATGAGTCTTGATTTCTGCTGCGACATTTAGATGATAGGGTCAGAATTTGGCGTCAACAACATCAAAGCATGAATCCATCCTTTCTTGTATCAAAGGTTCAGGCTGCTGGTGGTGGTGTAATGGTGTGGGGGATATTTTCTTGTCCCACTAGTAGCCCATTAGCATTGTATTATTGCCACAGCCTACCTGAGTATTGTTGCTGACCATGTCCATCCCTTTATGGACACAGTGTACCCATCTTCTGATGGCTACTTCCAGCAGGATAACGCTATCATAAAGTGCACATAAATGTCATAAAGCGTGAATCATCTCAAACTGGTTTCTTGAACATGACAATGAGTTCACTGGACTCAAATGGCCGCAACAGTCACCAGATCTCAATCCAATAGAGCACTATTGGGATGTTGAGAAACAGGATATTCGCATCATGGATGTGCATCCGACAAAACTGCAGCAACTGCGTGAAGCTATCATGTCAATATGGACCAATATATATATATATATATATATATATATATATATATATATATATATATATTTCCAGTACCTTGAATCTATGCCATGAAGGATTAAGGCAGTTCTGAAGGCAAAAATTGGTCCAACCTGGCACTAGAAAAGTGTATCTAATAAAGTGGCCGGTCAGTGGA